AGAATACTTTAAAATAAATAAATTAGGATAAATTAGTCATTTATCCTTCAAAACAGTTTATAAACAAGCATATTTAAAGTTTAAAATGTACATTTTAATCAACAACATCAGGATAAATAATTTTCAAAAGATAAGATGGAAAAATTAAATCACTAATTGATTTTACTCACCAAATAATAGTGCCAAGAGGATTACCTTAAACGCACTAATTTAAAATATTATTTTCCATGAAAATAACTGATAAACTTATTATAAATCAGATTGTTTACTAACAGTGATTCCCCATTTATACCATTATTATGGTATAAATAAATGAGCTCCCTTTTAATTACTACATATACTATATTTGAAAGGATCAGAATACCATTTTAAAAAATTTTCTACAATTAAACTTTTCCATTAACTGGCTATCTTCAAAATTACTCTGAATTAGTGATGTTCAACTGCCCCTTTTGATGGATCTTAAGATACTTAATTTGACAACAAAGAATTAGAAAATTTTGAATTTTAAAATTAATAGCCAGAAAAAAAAAGGGAAACAAATTGAGTCACCATAATTCTATATTTTTTACTTAATTAATAAGAATATAAGCATTTTGTTGGGGGAATAAAAAACAACACACTGCAATGTAAACGGAAACAATCTGAGCGCTCAATCCAGGTCTGACTGCATGGTACTGGTCAGTTTTATCATTTGTATAACAGAGATTATATTAATATTTCCCATAGCTCTTGTGAGGTCAAAATGAGGTAATATACGAGAAAATCGTAAATGACCTGCACATGTAAAAGATATCATGTCGACTAAGTATTTTAATCATAAGCAAGCCATCACCAATTGACAATAACACAAAATAATTATCCAGAAGTTCAAAGTGTTATCATAAAACTTCATAATCGATAATTTTAGTATCACGAAATTCTCATTTCTCAGTATCATCTCCATTCTCAAAACTTCCACATTTACAATTAAGTACACAAAAGAAACATTAAAAATACACACAGACACACAAGTTATCACCATTGTGTCTTTTTTTTAAACAAACTGGTCTTTACATGTTTTGTACAGTTAGATAAATATGGACATATCACTTTTATCTAACTCTGCATATATATAAATGCCACTGTTTTTTAAAACTTCCATAATTTATCAAATAAGTGAATAGCACTACTAAAATGTCAAATGTGTTAAAAGGAAGGTTATTGTACTGGCACTATATTCCAAAAACATTCACAATGAGAAAAATCTTTAATTATACAAGAAAATAAGGATTGAGAAACTTACTTATTATTAATATGCCTGGAATGTGTCCTTCTTCATAGTGAGGAAAGAGGACAATTTTGGGAATTATAACAATATTGTATAACCAGACAAAGACAATCAAACCCATGCAGCACCAACCATGTGGGTCAACAACAAAGTGAATCCGGAGACCCATTTTGCAGTCCTATAACTGCCTGCCAACCCACAAGGAAAGATGATCCTAAGGATAAAGGGAACAGAAAAAAATTACTGACATAGAAAAAATTATTTGATCAAAGCAAAATTACATTTCTGGCAACTATAAAATGACATTTGTTGGGTTTTCTTTGTATATTTGATTTTTTAAAAAACAATAAACACTTTGGAAAACAAAGAGAACTTTCAGGGTATTCAAATTTCACCATAAGTTTCAAATAATTTAATTTCAATTTTTCATTATGAATTGCTATCAAGAATATAAATTGACATTATCTACTGTAGTTAAAACACAAGTTTGTCCTTAACCCAGCAATTCCATGTGTAAACCCAAAAGAAATGAGTACATATGTCCACTAGAATATGTATAAAAAATTTTAGTAGCTTTAATCTTAAGACTAATGATCGCACAAGTCAAAATAGTGGCTATCTTGTGGTGGGAGAGGTGTGTATTAACTGGAAAAGGACATGAGAGAACCTTTCAGGGACTAGAAATGTTCTTGACCTGGTGGTACTTTACGGGTATACACATATATAAACATGCACTGAGCCATACACTTAAGATCTGTGCACTTTAATTTTAAACCATGATAAAGTATTTTAAAAATCATTTTGAAAAACTGCAAAAAGGGAAAAGTAATTACAAATTGCTAAAAGTATTAAAATTCATAGAATGAAGCCCAACCTCACTGCTACCAATTCAAGAAGACTCTTGTTTAAATGATACTTTCTCTCAGTTGAATGTTAGCTATCTGCCAACAGATCTCCCAATGAGATACTTAAAAGAGTTAAGATATTTCTATATTTATGGTACCAAAAAAGTGACAAAATATATCCATACTTTAGTGGATATAACTTATAAACCTTAATTAAGAAATTACTGTATCAGGTCTAGAGGGCACCTTTTACATAAAATATAATAATAAAC